CATGTTTATCAATATTAACAAAATTCTGGAAAGTGAGGGTACCTTTAAAAAACTAATTTAAGTTACAAATGATATTTTCAAATTTACCTTACATGGTTTTTCTAGATCCATTCAGAATTCTTTCAGAAAACCTATTTGGAACTTCAGAAATGTGATCTTTTTTTATTTTAGACTGCCTATTTTTTCAAGTAGGTAAAGTCTTTAGATGTTCTCAGGTCATGGAATTATGAATATGTCCTTAATTCATTCATCACTTATTGACCACATACTCCACGCACAGAGTGAGTGCTGTGTGTTCAGCCAAGTGAGCACACAATGATGGCGCAGGGGGGTAAGGTCAGCGGCAGACATCTTCACAAAGAGCACAAAGCAGGGTGTCCAAGCTGGAAAAGACCTCGGAGAGATGACCCCGACTGACTCTTGAGGCGTCTGTAAGACGCTACCTTCAGTGTGCTCCGAGCTCGTTCCAGTCGGCTCCACTCCTTCTAGACCTTCGTTTGCTAAGAAGTTCTTGGCAGGTTTTTTTCCTTTCCTGAAGAAATTCTTTGTCGCTATGGTCATCCATGACCATCCAGGTGGTATGTCCATCATACTTAAGTTCACACTGGGGAGAGTTAAGGAATAAAGATGGTAGGTACATACACTCAGGCAATAAAGTTTATTTTGCATCGTTGGTATGTTATGGAAAGTTACATAAAATTGAATTTCTATCAATTGAACATTTAAATGCATGGGTTAGCATTTACTAGTTAACATCTAGTAACTATTCCATGTGTAGTGAACTTGACTATACCCTGGAGCAAAGAAGAAATACCTACCTTCCAAGGTCTTAAGTATGAGAGCAGAAATAGGATATACACTAATAAAACATTTACGTAATAATTCCAGAAAGTGTACGCTCTTTCCTTAGCACCTGCCACAGTGCCTGTCACGTGGTAGATCCTCAAATATTATTGAGTGAATGAATGTATTGGTGGGTGGTACAGGCTGCCAGTGGTCTAAGGATTTAGAGAGATGGCAGGTCATCTTGGGGTAGACCAATGAGGGAAGATCTTAAATTGGATCTTGAGAAGGACTTGAGTGAATGGGTGAAGGATGGGGTTAAAAATGAACTTGTGTGCTCGAGGGATGAAGAAGATTGACTTATGTAGAGTAATGCTTTAATCTACGGTGAGATAAAATCAGGAAGTTTGGGTAGGGTCAAGATTGTCGGCAGACCCTTCTGGTAGACATACATTTAAGGGAAGGGACTGTGTCTTTTTCATGTTCCTTGCACAGGGTCTGGCACATAGAATGGGCTCAATAAGTATTTGTTGGCTGACTAATTGACTGACTGACTAGTGGAAACCTTCGAATGGCAGCTCCCATGACGTTCCCTTCAGCTGTGATGTCTTAGGAACCATGGCTGTGACTGGGGGCTGGGATGTCAGCTGCGGGGAGGAGGGTCCAGTGGTCTGGGAGCTCTCGCAGCCGGAGGAGAGGATGGAGGGTCCCGCTGGGAATGGAGAGGAATGGTGCTTTCAAGGGAGAGTGGCTGAAGCCTAGGTTCCCCTTCTCTGTCCAGAAGCAGAGCCTGAGATGGGCTGCAAGGGACTGAGTGAGGGAACACTCTCAGGTGAGGCCCTGAAGGAGTGAGGGAAGCAGCACCGCGCACAGGAGGATGCTGGCCAGGTGCTGTGTTCAGGGGAAGTCTAGCCCGTCTGGAGTGGGAGGCACACCAGAGCTGCCCCTCCAGGGCGAGGAGATTGGCCTCATGTCCCGCCGTCAGTCAGTGGCCACGGGCCGGCCACCAGGAAGGAGGGAAGAGATCTTCACCTCACAGACACTTCCTGACTAGGTGACTGGTTCCTTTTAGCCAACGGCAGCTCTTGGCAGAAGGGTCTACTGTGAGGTGTCAGCCACCAGGAGCCTTGATGAGTGGACACCCAATAAATTTCATTGAATGAATAAGCAATTGGTGGGAGAGAGGTGAATAGGAGGTACGGGTTTGAACTTTCCCTGAGATAGTGGGTGGCTGTGAAAGAAGGGGGACACTGACAGAAAGGAGGAATGGGGAGGATGCTTCAGCCTGCGCAGAAAGTTGGGAAATTTTGCTTCAGACACATTGAACTTGAGGTCATGGCAGAAAGTGTACGGCAGAGACACAACACTATAGTGATGAGGAGCACAGTTTCTAGAACCAAATTCATATCCCAGAACCACCACCTACAAGCTGCAGGATCTTGGGCAGGTTATTTAATCTCTCTGTGCCTCAGTTTCCTCACCTGTAAATGAGGATCATGATATTGTCTACCTCTTAAAGTGTTGAGAGGACTAAATGAGTTAATACCTATAAATCATGTAAAACAGTGTCTGGCTAATCGTAAGCATTATGTGTAGTGGGCTTTAAGGCATTCTGCATAGAGAAGAGAAAGCTAAGGCCAAACTGGGGCTCGCGACCCCACGGAACTTGGAGGCACTCACTCGGGCTGTAGCCTTTCTTGGTGAGAGTCTCTAAACCTGGGCCCTGCAACACTTCCCGCCAGCCGTGGCGGGCTGGCTTCTCGCTGTGGCTGATCTCTGGCTCGTCTCACTGTTCTTCAGCTGCTTTTCAGTCTTTCCTGTCACTTAATAACCAACACCCTGCAGTCAAGCCTCTGCTCAGACACCCACACGGATTCCGTTTCTCTGGTTGGACTCTGAGCTCAGCTCTAGGGCTCCCTAATGAGCACAGGACTTCAGGGATGGGGGGAGAAGCCAGCATTCGGGGAGTGACTTCACTGTGTTAGGTACGTTTCCACGTGAGACGTGGAGGCCTCATCAGGTGGTGGAGTGGCGCCCACTACACACTCTGTAGATGAGAAGCCAGACGGGCGGGGAGGCATAACTCGTCTAGGGTCACCAAGTAATGGAGCTCAGATTCAAACCTAGTTTGAAGGTTTATACCCTTTCCACTAAGCAGAGCGTCTGAGCCAGAGGGCGTCCAGATGGCGGGTAGACTGCTTTCAAACTATAAGAATTTACTAACTTATTTTCCCAGCAAAAGATTTTTTTTTATTTTCAGAGAGATACTTACCATGTGTCTTCTTGCTTCTCCTCCTCCTCTTCTTGCTCCGTTTTGTATTTATAGTGGTGAAATTCACATAACATAAAATTAATCATTCTAAAGTAAACAATTCAGTACCATTTAGCACATTCTCAATGTTGTGCAACCACCATTTGCTTCTATCTGGTTCCAAAACATTTCCATCATTTTGGAATATACCCCTCCCCATTCAGTTTTTCCCCATCAGCCCTCCACCCAGCCCCTGGCGGCCACCAGTCTTCATTCTGTTTCTGTGGATTTGCGTATTCTGGATATTTCATATAAATGGAATTAAACAACATGTCGCCTTTTATGTCTGGCTTCTTTCACTCAGCATAATGTTTTGAGGTTCGTCCACACAGTAGCATGTGTCAGTCCTTCATTCCTTTTAGTGCTGAGTAAGATTCCACTGCCTGGATATTCCACGATTGCTTTATCCATTTATACGTTGCTGGGCATTTGATTTCTACCTTTTGGCTTTTGTGAATTGTGCTGCTATGAACATGCGTGTACATCTATTTATTTGAGTACTTATTTTCAATTCTTGGAGGTTTACATGAACTTGTTAACTTGTAGCTGATTTTCTGATTCTAATTCCTATCAATTTCAGATTTATAAAGTGACAAAATACAGTAACTAATTTCTGTAAAAATAGTTTTCTTGGAGACTTAATCATATCTATAATCTTCTAGTTTTAATTTATTCTGCAAGTTTCGCTCATATTTTTGCCCACTGCATATGTGTGTGTGTGCATGTATGTGTGTGTGAGTGGGTACATGAGAGAGAAAGAGAAAGGGAAGGTTTTTGCTTTTCTGAGCGTTTAATCTAGCCATTCTGGGACTTGAAGGTCATTTACAACCACTGGCTCAGGTTTCTTATCGATACTAGCAGATTTTATGTAAAGTACCATTTCTAGGTCAAACAGCCCATGCTTCTTTCAAGGTAAGTGCTGGTAGAGAAGGGTTATTTGGAAATTTGGGCAGACAAATAAATGCCACTATTTTCAGTTACGTGCAAATAAAATTTTATTTCTCTCATTAGGACGAATAAAGAGAAGATGAGGGAGGGATCCTTGTATTTTTGTAATTTATATGAAAAGAAAATATAATTTAAAATAAATTCAATGCAGAAATAAAATAAATAACTGAGGTGCAAATTATTTATTTATGAAATGGAACCCCTTGGAAAGAGAAGAATGCTGACAGCCACTTAGTATGCGGTGTGTTAACCCCTGTTCCTACCCTTACATGTTCAAAGTCAGACGGAGTAATTTAGTTGCATTCCCATTAATATTAGCGGGAATTTTGAAACACAACTTCCTGCACACATCTTTGAAAATGTATAGGTTAAAGTAAACTGTTAATGAAAAGCTGGTTTTCATTTTTAGTGAAGTAGTTTGAACGTCTCACCAAAGATGTCCTAGAAGGCACCTTCGTTCCAGTCTCAGGAGAAGAATTATGTATAAGGTTACTTTTTGGAGGTTGTCATCTTTAAAGCAACATGGATAATAAATCATGCTTTTTTAAATAGGGTTTTCCGACCCTAAAGAACACGAGAGTTAGGACCCATGTTGTTTATAGTGAGCAAAGGACCTTGGGCTCTTTCGATGGACCCTTTAAGCCCAGTGCTCTGATCAGGGATAGAGGCACACTAAGGTGAGTTTTAATTAGGACTAAATTGTGGTATTACTCTTTCATACCCTGAACATCTGTTCCCTTCAGAAATGATGATTTATGCGGGCTATCAGAGCAGACAGCTTGCTACAGCTTATGTCACGGTTAGTGGGAAGCTGGTGGTAGCATTTCAGAAAACCAGCATCTAAGTGGAGACTGGCCAGTATGTATGATATAGGTAATCAGGGGAGGGGAAGCAGGATGTGTCCATTTTTAATTTTGAAGCCAAATATTGACTTGACTTAAAAAAAATTCTCTTCTAGACCATCTGTTGTTAATGAAGAAAGTAACTTGGACAATGAATGGGGTGATGCTTCCTACTGATGTCAAAAGACAGAAAACCAAGCCTGTTCTTTCCATTAGAATGAAGAAACTTACTGAGAAGACCTCAGTCCGAATTCTGTTCTTTAAGAATGGGATGGGGCAAGATGGGCATGAGATTACAGTGGAAAAGGAAACAATGAGGAAGGTAATTTTGTATTAAATATTGAAGTATAAATGAAATTTCAAAGTTTTTATGGCTTTTGAAGTGTGTTGTTTTTTCCTTCTAGCTCTCAATGTCAACTAATAAACTGAAATATGAGGAAGGCATCATATAGAAGGCGAAAATTCAGCTATTTAGAAGTATGCTCATTGTACTAACAACAAAAATGACCTTAGTAAAGCAGCAATATTTCAGGAAATTATTTGGCTAACATAGTTGCCCATTTACCTAGGTAAAAGTCATTTACACTTAGGGAAACATTCTGGTTGTTACAATATTTTATAAGATATTTAGATTGAAGCCAGTCTAACCTAGTTTCAAACCTCAAATCTGCCCCTTTTCATTTTGAATAGCAGTAAGACCTAGAAGCACCCTTGCTCCTCAAAAGAATAAGTAAAGTCTGAAATAACTGAGATTCACTTTAAAAGGATCCATGTACATTTTTAAAAGCAAATCTGGATGAGCCTAAGAAAAATCATGTAACAATCAAGCAAACTTTAAAAAACAAATTTTAAAGTATTACTTGTCATATAAATGCATTTTTTAGAAGGTGCTTGTACTTCCCAGATCATCTTTGATATTAAAAAATTATGGAGAAACTAATGGAAATTAAAAAAAGAAGTTTTTAAAGATGAGGATTTTTCAGCCAATCTTAAAGCAATCTAATAATAATAATAACTAAAATTTATTCAATATGTACTAGAGAGACAGTAAAACATAGTCAAACTGTCCAGGTTTTAATCCTGGCTTTGTCATCACTGTCCGTAAGACATCGGACAACTTAGCTTCTCTGAGCCTCAATTTCTTCCCCTAAAAAATGGGAATGACAAACATGAGGTTCCATGTGATGTTATGTTGGGAATACAATGCTTGGCACTTGAAGGTTCCTAGTAAATATTTGCCATTTTTATCTTTAGGACTCATAAATACACATCTAATAGTTAGAAATTATTTTTCTTATTAATGGGAAGCATTTATTATGAAATAAAGATAAATGTAAGTCATTTTGTTATGCCAGACTATTTTCAAAAAAATATTGCTTGAAACAGGTGAATAGTTGACTAGATATTGGAAATTTTTATCAAAATATCTATTTCCTCATTTACTTCTTTTTGTGTAACAAAGAGCATTACTGAGGAGCTGGGAACATAACGAGCATTACTGAGGAGCTGGGAAGTCAGATTTTATTTCCTTCTTATCTGCAGATTTGGATTATGAGTAAAACAAAGGATATTACACACACCGAGCAAATTGCTAAGGCAAGTTGTAGCATCTTCCCTGGAGATTTTGAAAAATAGAGAAAATGGAAATATCTCTTGGATTGTTAAAATGCAGTCATTCCTGGAGATGGAAGCTAGATTAGATAACCTCTTGAGTTCACTTCAGTTCAATCTCTGTAATTCTGTGCCTCGGTGGTAAAATTCGGGTTATAGTCACCCTTTCAGATTACATGTTCTTAGATGAAAGGTTGAGTGTAAATAAAGAGATCACTGCTGCTTTGCTTTTTGACTCTAGAGAGCAGTTTACTTAAAACTGGATGATCAAGGAATTCTTCAGCTTATTATTTTTTCTTCTTACAACTTGTAGAATTTAAAGAACCTTCACAATTTATAAAACTCGGATAGGACATGATTCAGTAATAAATGTTTTTATAAATATGTGTCTAAATATCACTTTTAAGAATGAGGTAGGGGGCCAGCCCTGTGGCCAAGTGGTTAAGTTCACGTGCTCCGCTGTGGCGGCCCAGGGTTTCCCTGGTTCAGATCCTGGGCGCGGACATGGCGCCGCTCATCAGGCCACGTTGAGGCGGTGTCCCACATGCCACAACTAGAAGAACTTGCAACTAAAATATACAACTATGTGCCGGCAGGGATTTGGGAGATAAAGCCGGAAAAAAAAAAAAAAAGATTGGCCGCAGTTGTTAGCTCAGGTGCCAATTTAAAAAAAAAAAAAAGAATGAGGTAAAGGAGAGGAGGTAACAGAACTGGTCTTGGGTGTCAACAGCACTTTCTGTAGGGAAAAAAATAAGGCTAGCTAATTATTTTGTAGATAAAATTTAAATTTTGAAAACCCTTTTGATAATCACAGGATAATGCTCTATTTATAGATTAAATACCAAGTCAGTTATAGGAATAAAAAGGTGACAGTCATAGAAGAAGCAAATAATGTTTTCTTTTATGATAAAGCCTTAGGAATGTCTGGGACTAATAGGTATTTTTAGATTATTCCTAAGAAGTATGAAACCTCAGTAGAGTGTAAAGGACTGTAATATGGGGGCGATGACGGCAGTGGAGGAAGAGTTATAGGTGGTAAAATGGGGCAGTTAAAGCATGGAAGTCCTTTCTGGGCTCAGAATGGAGCCGGGGGAAACAGCTGCATTTCAGTCGTAAGGACAAAATCAAAAGGATATCCACTCATTTATTTTAGGAAGTTAAGTGATTAAGAAGTTTGAGATGAGGGCCAAAGTGATATAATTCTTTGCTAAACTCTAGAATACCAGAACTGTGACCCGTGCCTTGGAAACTTGAATCAGATGGCTTTAACTTTTACTTGGTGTGGTTTCAGTAACCACACAGCACCTGCTGCTGTGGAATGGGCTCAACATATATGTCCATGGGTTGAAAAGGTATTAAGAAAAATTTGTGGACACAAGATGCAAAGTAATTGGAAAGTGAAAAATGTCTGCTCCGGACACAAATTTTTAGGGTCAGCATTGTGGTGGATAAGTTTGATTTTCCCAATTATCTCTTGATTCATTGTCAGAGAAGTGGTATTAAGCTGTGTTGATTCTTATATTATCCAGGATAGCATCTCCTTTATAAGAAATCTTTATTTTTTTCTTAGCTGTTAATAATGATATCTTATTTGTTTTTTGCTTGGCTGTCTATATACTATCACTAATGGCATGAGATTACAATGGTGAAGAAAATGATGGAAAAGAGAATAAAATGCATGAAACAATGAAAAAGATCTGTCTCCTCAGTCCGGTTTGAATTGATTGTTCTCTGTGACCTCTGTCTGCCCTCGGACCTCCCTTCACCATCCACCTGGGGATTATCTTTCCCTCTCTCCTGTTGGATCCCTCACTCCTAGTTCCCTACTCTTCCTCTGTCTTTGTTTACTCTATTGTGCACATATTCCAGTGGCTTTCTGAGAAGGAGACCATAGGGGTAAATGTGTTGAGATTGTGGGAAATCCTTCTTTCCTCTAAATATTAATGCTCCCTTGTGTCTTGTTTCCAGTGTTGCTCTTGAGAACTCAGATACCGTAATGATTCCTCATCCTTTGTAGGTGACTTGCTTTTAATTTTTCCTCTCTGAAATCATTTAGAATCATCTCTTTGTTCCCAGGGCTCAGAAGTTCTTTTCAAGATGTGCTGGATACACAGCATGACTTTTCAGTCTGAAAAGTCTCATCCTTCTCTTTTGAGAAATTTTGTTGAACTTTTTCTTTGATATCTTTTTTCTCTACTTTTTCAGTTCTGACTTTAGGGAACTCCTCCTCTTATGTGTTGGTTTTTCTAAATGAACTTCTGCTTTTCTTGTGGGGAGATTTCCTTATCTTTACCTTCAATCCAACGAGTCCATTGCCTCTGCTCCCCGCACTTGCTCTGTTTTCTCTGAGTATTTGTGTTGTTGTTGTTTCTGGTCTTTCATGTTTTGGGCTTTTCTCCAAGATGAGTTAGCCTTCCCTCGGTGTTTAAAAGTGAAGAGCTGAGACTTGACTGAAGAGCTCCTGGGCACAGGTGTGTCTTACTGACGGAGGGGTTTCATCGGCAAGTGTTTTGACTAGGCGTGTCCTTTTTGGGAGGTCCCTAATTGTCAGTGTGTGTCTTTTCTCTGGAGCTAATCAGTTTCTCCAGATAGAATCTGCCAATTTGAGCAGTTTAGTGGAGAAGGGGGCTAAGAGTGCACTTTCAGTCTGTTGGTTTTCATTCAGTTCCCCTCTTTTCAGTCAGGTACCCTCAGCCTCCACTCTGCCTGGTCCTCTGACTCCACAGTCCTCTGGATGAGCCCCTCCGAAGCTCCCATCTTCTGTTCGGACGGCAGAAGTACAGCTGCCTGAGTGCTTGGTGTTGGGAGGGGCTCTCTGGGTTTAACTGCTTTTTATAGAAATAGTCAACTTTGGGGCCGGCCTGGTGATGCAGTGGTTTACTTCGTGCACTCTGCTTAGGCTGCCCTGGGTTCGCCAGTTTGGATCCCGGGCATGGACCCATGCACCGCTTATCAAGCCATGTTGTGGTGGAGTCCCACATACAAAATAGAGGAAGATGGGCACAGATGTTAGCTCAGGGCATCTTCCTCAGCAAAAAGAGGAAGATTGGCAGCAGATGTTAGCTCAGGGCTTATCTTCCTCAAAAAAGAAAACAAAAGAAAAAGAATAGTCAACTTGTTTTAGCCCTACTTCTTAAACGTACCTGAAGGCTCAAATTTCTGAGCCTTTCTGCAGTTCTGCAATACAGAGCAAGTTTACTTCTATTAGCTTAAGTTTCAACATTTCTGGTCTGTTAAATTATTTACCACTTAATTATCTTTCTTTTGGCTTCCAGAATTTTTGTTATTGTTATCTCCTTTTTGATTCTCTCTTTTTAAATGGCAAGTGTCAATCTTTTATTTAACATTGATAAAGCTGGGGTTTTTTAGATGAAAAGATAATTCTAATATCCTTTTCCTACCCCAGTGGATTGTTTTACCCAGTTGCTTGGGGTTTGTACATCCCACTTTGGAAAACATAGTTTCAAGCTACGTGTATGAGAACAGGATGCTTCCTTCTGTCATCTGGAAGGACTATATGCTCATAGGCAAGGAGCCTGCAACATTTCTCAAAGCATGGGCCACACAGCGCCTGCGTCAGAATCGTCTGGACTATGTGTTAAAAATTCAGACTTCCAGGCCCCACCCCAGGCCTGTTGAATTAAGAATCTCTTGAGTGTGGGGCCTGGGGATCTGACTCTCAACAAATGTCTCCAGATAATTCATAGCCCC